CTAGTAGGAGCATTTCCCTTCCAGACTACAAGGGGCCAACTCTGTCCCCAAGTCAAGTGAGGAGCATTCCAAGAGAATCAGTCATAAGATTGGGAGTGACTCTCAAGGAGATACTCAGTGTGTCACTCTCCTGCTAAAGACATCCTGAGCTGCAGAAACCTACCCCAGTGCATTGGAGAAGGTGTGCTACAAGGGTGAGAGCTCTTAGGTACATCTGAAATGTGTCCCTTGGAGTTTCTAGATGCAGGTGAATACAGAGGCTGAGCAAGGAAAATGGGCAGCAGTGAAAATATCATTCCCATTGTGCATTTCCTTTGGGCCAAGCAGATGCCACAAGAAACTGCTGGGTAATCCAACAGGAGATCCCAGGAGAAGGAAAATGTGGGGTGATGTCCTAGAAGCAAGAGCTAGGAGGGGGGCCAATGCCAGAGAAAACCAATCACCTATGTCAGGGAAATATTTTAGGTATAATTGTACTTTAGGTTCTGGGGTATATGTGCAGATCATACAGGCTGTTGCATAGGTACATACATGGCAAGGTGGTTTGCTGCCTCCATTCCTCCTCATCTGTATCTGGCATTTCTCCCCACTTTATCCCTCCCCACCCTCCCCTCCCCCTGCTGTCACTCCCCTAGCCTGCCCCCCTCAACTGACCCCAGCATGTGATACTCCCCTCCCTGTGTCCACGTGTTGTCATTGTTCAACACCCACCTATGAGTGAGAACATGTGGTTTTTGATTTTCTGTTCTTGTGTCAGTTTGCTGAGAATGATGGTTTCCAGATTCATCCAAGTCACTACAAAGGACACGAACTCATCGTTTTTTATGGCTGCGTAGTATTCGGTGTATACAATGTGCCACATTTTCTTTGTCCAGTCTATCATCGATGTGCATTTGGGTTGGTTCCAGGTCTTTGCTATTGTAAACAGTGCTGCGATGAACATAGGTGTGCATGTGTCTTTATAACAGAAAAATTTATAATCTTTTCAGTATATACCCAGAAATGTGATTGCTGGGTCAAATGGAATTTCTATTTCTAGATCCTTGAGGAATCGCCACACTGTCTTCCACAATGGTTGAACTAATTTACACTCCCACCAACAGTATAAAAGTGTTCCTATTTCTCCACATCCTCTCCAGCATCTGTCTCCAGATTTTTTAATGATTGCCACTCTAACTGGCATGAGATTATATCTCAATGTGGTTTTGATTTGCATTTCTCTAATGACCAGAGATGATGAGCATTTTTTCATATGTTTGTTGGCCTCATATATGTCTTCTTTTGAGAAGTCTCTGTTCATATCCTTCGCCTACTTTTGAATGGGTTTGTTTGTTTTTTTTTCTTGTAAATCTGTTTTAGTTCTTTGTAGATTCTGGGTATTAGCCCTTTGTCCAATGGGTAGATTACAAAAATTTTTTCCCATTCTGTCAGGGAAATATTTGTGGGACTTCCCAACCACTGACAAACATACCAAAAAAGCATACATGTGGATACCATGCCCAGAGGGCACCAATGGATGGATCAGAGCAGCATCAGTCACCTGAATGGCTTGCTCTCTCTCCTCCTTCCCCAACACACTGGAGTAGGAAGGAAACTCAGAGACAGCCGGGTGAGAAGAGGAAGAGACGCAGAAAAGCAAAATAATGGCTTACACCTCCTTTATGCACTACAGGGGAGGGATCAGAAACTGGAAATGACACTGAAGGTTTAAATTGCATTGGACTTGTAAATGCTTGAAAGTGAATCATACTGACCCAAATGTGATTTATTTTTATAACTAAGTGACAGGAAAACTATAGAATTTGCAGGAAACGTCTCTGAAGAGAAGGGAAAGAAAAATCATGTTTGAAGCCAATGGAAGGAGAAAATAAAACCACTTCCTATTTGTTCTCCCATCAAATGTAGCCCACTGAGTATTCCAGTTATGTAAAGATCAAATGAAAGCATACCTGCAAAGAGACATATTATCCAGCCCTTAACAAAAAGCTCATTTGAGCTCAATGTTGGCTATGATCACTCACATCTGAGTCAAGATTTCAAGACTTCCTTTCGTTACTGGTAAGACAGCTATCTCTAGCCATTGCACTGATGACTCTACATTCTAACTAGTGCTTAATCTGTGATCTGAGTTAGGTTAATGCTCACCAGTATTCAACAAGGTACCATGTGTGGCTGCCTGGGCAATCTGGTTCTTAATCTAGAAATTTTATTTCTTAACTGATAGTTTTTCTTAATTAACTGGAAATGATACATTTATTGATGCTTTCTTAAATTCCAAAGACCATTTTTTCAAAAAATTTCATGTGATAAGAATTTCCTATTTTATAAAGAACAAAGTCTGATTAAAAGGCACTGGGATAAAATACTGTACTTCTAACTCCCACTTTGTAAGACACAGGTGGATTAGAAGAACATGGTCACGATGAAAAATTCATCAGGACAAATGACCCATATTATTTAACAAATAAATGGCATAAGAAAAAAGGACATGGGGAGGGGTTACTATTAGATTTGTTGCGGGAATTAGGAGGTTGGCGAGACCAATGGGTGGAACAGGAAGATTTTATTAAGGTGTGCGCTGGCTCAGTGGATTTAAATCCAATAGATTAAGTATTAAAGACAAAGCTTGACTTTTATATATGAAATGCAGAAGTGAACAAAGACAGTTTATTAAAAATGATAGGTTTATAACTTAAGCTTACATATGACTTATGCTATGTGGTCCAGATGACCACTATCTGGGTTGCAAGCAGTTTATCTCATTTCCTTCACTATGGCATCTGGACGGTTGCAATTTCGCCTCTTTAGACCTGTCTCATGACCTTTGCTGTGCTGCTTAGATGAAAAACAGGAACTTTTAGTTATTAGTTATAGAGAACAAGAATACATCAATCTATAAACTTATAAAACTTGCAAAGCAGGGTACAGTTCCTGGGGGAGGAGGATTCAGGGGAGTTTTACTCATACTACAGGAAAGAAGGAAAATTTGTTTTTCTGCTCTTATTTTTTACTTTAAAATAATATTGACCAAATGCAATACATGCCCTTCCTTTGATCCCAATTAGTACAAACCAGTAAAAAGACATTTTAAGATCACTGAGGAAAATGCTACACATACTGGGTATCAGATGATACTTAAAGAATTATTTTGTTAGGTATGAAAATGATTGTGGGCTGGGCATGGTGGCTCACATCTGTACTTTGGGAGGCCAAGGCGGGCAGATCACGAGGTCAAGAGATCGAGACCATTCTGGCCAACAGGGTGAAACCCCGTTTCTACTAAAAATACAAAAATGAGCTGAGTGTGGTGGTGCATGCCTGTAGTCCCAACTACTCAGGAGACTGAGGCAGGAGAATCACTTGAACCCAGGAGACAGATGTTGCAGTGAGCCGAGATTGCGCCACTGCACTCCAGCCTGATGACAGAGTGAGACTCTGTCAAAAAAAGAAAAAGAAAGAAAGAAAATCATTGTGGTTATGTTTTTTAAAAAAAGTCTATTAGTGGTAGACATTTAGGGATGGTATAATAGGATGGCTGGGATTGCCTCTAAAATAGTTTACAAAAAACAACAAACCAAGAGAGCCTCCAAAACACACACACACACACACACACACACAACTCAGGGTGTGTGTGTTTTGGGTGGGAGAGGGAAGGGCAGTTAAGATGAAACAAGAAAACGCTCTGTGATGGGTACAAGAAGATTCACTATTCTCTCTACTTTTATGTACATTTGAAAACTCTTTATACTGAAGGAAAAACAAGCCCTGGGTCTGATGTTTTAGATGCTGTTTATCTGTTCTTGATTTCAATCTTATTCTCACTTCAGAATCCACTTTTTAGCACCATTCCAGGCTTTCTTTTTTTTTTTTTTTACTAGAAAAACATTTATTCATTTTTTTTTCTTTTTTTTTTTTACAAAAAAAGTTTTGTATACCCATTTGTAAACATGCAAATGTTAAATATATACAATTTGATGAGTCTGGACATATGCACACACCCATGATAGTACAATCAAGGTTATAAACTCTGCAGGCTCTCTTCACTCTTGTATAGAACTGAGTCTCCTTACTTGTCCAACTCCTCTGACAGTTACAATCACATCGCAGAAGTGCCAAGGCAGAAGGAATCTTCAAGGGGATTTGGTCCAACATTCCCATTTTAAAGATAAGGAAACTGAGGCCCAAAGTGTTTCCTTAGCCCATTTGCTTGGTTAGAGTGCAACTAAAGTTTTACATATAATCCGATCTCAATAGATGCAGAAAAAAATGGACAAAATCCAATATTCATTCATGATAAATATATATACGTATGTGTTTATTTTTTTAGTTGTACTCTAGCCAGGCAAATGGGCTTGGTTACGCGGCCAGTAAGTATTAAATTGATCTGTGTTGGTCTAAATCACATGGAAAACAGTTGGGTACAGTGGCTCACACCTATAATCCCTGCACCCTGGGAGGCCAAGGCCGGTGGATCACCTGAGGTCAGGAGTTCAAGACCTGCCTGGCCAAAATGGTGAAACCCCGTGTCTACTAAAAACACAAAAATTAGCTGGGCGTGGTGGCGGGCGCCTGTAATCCCAGCTACTCAGGAGGCTGAGACACGAAAATCGCTTGAACCCAAAAGGCAGAGGTTGCAATAACTCGAGATAGCGCCACTGCACTCCAGCCTGGGCTACGCAGCGAGACCAAGTCTCAAATCAGTCAATCAGTCAATCACATGGAAACCGTGCCATGTCTTAGCTGACCATTGGGCTGCTGGAGGTTTACACACACTTGCTTTCCTCGTTTTGTGTGTAAGCTGTGAGAAAACACACACCTCACAAACTCCCAACTACCACCCAGCTGGAGCGCAGCCGGAAAGACCAAGGTAACCGAGCAAAGGCCCCGCCTGACCCGGCACAGCGCCCCGTCCCGGGCTGGTGCCCACGTGGCCCCGAGGTCGAGGGGCGGAACCGAGGGAAGCGCGAGAAACCACGCAGCGACAGCGCGAACGTTCTCACGCACGGCGCATGGAAGCTAACATGGCGCGAGCTCGTCCCTCCGCGCACGGTCCGCTTTCCTGGTATCCGCAGCTGCTCACCCGAATTCCAAGTGACCTCCAGGGAGTTGGAAACTGCCAGCTCCAACCGACCCTTTTCTCTTCCCCAGAAGGACGCAACCCGGATGCTTGCAGCTGGTCACCACGACCCCGACCCCGACTCCCGGCCGCTGCCTCCGCGGGTCTGCGCTGGCTGCCATAGCAAGCTGGAGGACGCGCCCTGCCGCGCAGGAAGTGACCCGCTCGCCGCCCCGCCCCGCGGCCGCAACCAGTCTTTCCCTGCGCTGGCGCGGAAATCAAAGCTGGAGAACTTCGGTGTCTCGGGTTGGCCGTGGTGCGTAATACCCCAAGGAGGGCATTCAGCTTTCCTAATGGCGGTTTTCCTTCCCAAGGGCAGCGCTTCCCAAGTTTCGCTTTAGGTAAAGTTTCTGATTGTTGTGCTTTGAATATTCATCACCCATCAGCTGCCCACTCCTAGATTCCTCCAAACCATGCATTTACACGTACGAGCCGCCAGTTCTTATAAACCTCGGAACCACTGCACATTTTCTTTTTCTCCCTGAATGACGCCGCCCACCACAGTGAATCCATTTGCACATAGCGCAAATCAGTGTGGTACCAGGAAAAGGATAAGTCGTGTAGGAACATCCCATTATAAACAACTATGCTTAAAGTATATTCCTAAGTCATGGGAGGAGATAAAGGCTAATTGATAAATTGTGCTGAGACGAGTTAATTACAAACACTCGAAAACAGACATTTTCAGATGTTTGCACACCATGCACAACACAGACCAGCTGAATCATAAATGACTAGTCACTGGGAGGATTGATTTACTCTGTCTCTCTACATATGTATATATACACACACACTATTACTTTTACTTCTACCGAAGTAATGTGCACATACTGGAAATTTTGTTTTATTTTTTGAGATGCAGTCTTGCTCTGTCACCAGGCTGGAGTGCAGTGGTGTGATGTTGGCTTACTGTAACCTCCACCTCCTGGGTTCAAGCGATTCTCCTGCCTCAGCCTTCTGAGTAGCTGGGATTACAGGCGTGCACGACGACACCCAGCTAATTTTTGCATTTTTAGTAGAGATGGGGTTTCACCGTGTTGACCAAGATGGTCTCCATCTCTTGACCTTGTGATCTGCCCACTTGGCCTCCCAAAGTTCTGGGATTACAGGCATGAGCCACCGCACCTGGCCTTTTCTTTTATTTCAAGTTTTGGGGTATATGTGGTTTTGGGTTACATGGATTCATTCTTTAGCCAGGATTTCTGAGATTTTAGTGCACCCATCACTTGAGTAGCGTACACTATGTGTAGTCTTTTATTCCTCACCTTCCCCCCATCCACCTTCCCCTCTGAGTCCCCAAAGTCCATTGTATCATTCTTATGCCATTGCATCCTCATAGCATAGCTCCCGCTTGTGAGAACATACAATATTTGCTTTTCCATTCCTGAGTTACCTCACTTAGAATAATGGCCTCCAGCTGCATCCAAGTTGCTGCAAAAGACATTATCTATTCCTTTGTATGGCCGAGTAGTATTTCATGTTGTATATATACCACATTTTCTTTAACCATTCATTGGTTGATGGGCACTTAGATTGGTTTCATATCTTTGCAGTTGCACACTGTGCTGCCATAAATATGCATGTGCATGTGTGTTTTTCGTGTAATGACTTATTTTCCTTTGGGTAGATATTCAGTAGTGGGATTGCTGGATTGAATGGTAGTTCTACTTTTAGTTCCTTAAGGAACCTCTATACTGTTTTCCATAGTGGTTGTACTATGTTTACATTCCCACTAACACTGTAAAAGTGTTCCTTTTTCCTCACATCCACGCCAACATCTATTGTTTTCTAACTTTTTTACAGGAGTAAGATGGTATATCACTGTGGTTTTAATTTGCATTTCCCTGATGGTAAGTGATGCTGAGCATTTTTTCATATGTTTGTTGGCTGTTTGTATATTTTCTTTTGAGAAATGTCTATTCATGTCATTTGCCCACTTTTTGATGGGTTTGTTTTTTTTCTTGCTGATTTGTTTGTATTCCTTGTAGATTCTGGATACTAGTCCTTTGTCAGATGTATAGTTTGCCAGTGTTTGACTCTTTTCATTGACAAAATATTGCTGAAGAAAATAAAATTCTTTTTTTTTTTTTTTTTTTTTTTGAGATGGAGTTTTTGCTGTTGTTGCCCCGACTGGAGTGCAGTGGTGAAATCTCAGCTCACTGCAACCTCTGCCTCCCAGGTTCAAGCGATTCTCCTGCCTCAGCCTCCTGAGTAGCTGGGATTACAGATGCCCACCACCACGCCCAACTAATTTTTTTGTGTTTTTAGTAGAGATAGGGTTTCGCCATGTTGGGCAGGCTGGTCTTGAATTCCTGACCTCAGGTGTTCTAACCGCCTCAGCCTCCCAAAGTGCTGGGATTACAGGTGTGAGCCACCGTGCCCGGCCAGAAAATGAAATTCTTAAGTAAAAGAAGAGAAATACTATAATCGTGGATCAGAAGACTCAATATTGTTAAATTCTCTACAAGTTAATTTATATGGATTCAATGCAGTCCTGATCAGAATACCAGAAGACTTTCCTTTCCAGTAGAAATTCATAGGTTGATTCTAAAATTGGTATGGAAACACAGAGAACTAGAATAATAGAAACAATTTTTAAGAGGAAAACATTTAGAGGAGTCACACCACTTGATTTCAAAACTTAGGATCAAGCTACAGTAATCAAGAGAGTATGGTATTGGTAAAAACATAGACACGTAGATAAAATAACAGTATAGAGGGACTAGAAATAGATTCATATATGTGATTAATTTTTGAAAATTGTACAAAGGCAATTCAATAAAGAAAAGATAGTCTTTTTAACAAATGATGTTGGAACAATTTGACATATAAGTATAAACAAAAAGCCTCAACTTGTAATTGCCACCATATATAAAAATTAGCTCAAAGTGGATTGTAGACCTAAAAAAACACCTAAAGTATACAATTTGTACAAGAAAATACAGGTGAAAATCTTTGTGATCTCTGGCACCTCCCCTACTTGGCCAAGGGAATGCCAGAGAAACCTTGGATACTGAATTTACAGCTATGATGGGATAGGAGATGGGACACACCTCATTATACCCCTTCCCTTGCTAATAGTCATTAGGTTTTCAGCTGAGTTCTGTGGCTTACACCTGTAATCTCAGCAGTTTGGGAGGCTAAGGTGGGCAGATCACCTGAGGTCAGGAGTTTGAAACCAGGCTGCCCAACATGGGGAAGCTCCATCTCTACTATTAATACAAAAATTAGTTGGGCCTGGTGGCACGTGCCTGTAGTCCCAGCTACTCGGGAGGCTGAGGCACAAGAATCTCTTGAACCCGGTAGATAGAGGTTGTGGTGAACTGAGATTGCACACTGCACTATAGCCTGGGAAACAGAGTCAAAGTGTCTCAAAAAAAAGTCATTAGGTTTTTTTCTCTAAAGGCTAAACAGAAACTAGCCTTTTCAAAAGACTGCTGTTTATCTTCCCAGGTGCAGAACAAAAACAAGATGAGATTAATGGTTCCTTTGCCCCTCCCCTAGACAACTGCTTCATCTGTTCCCCTTTTCTTCAAATGTTCACCTTATCATATGTAAAATGTAGATTTTCTGGGCTCTAACTAAAGTCTCACAAGTAGGTAATCATTTATCTCACTGCTGCCTCCTGTTTTTCAAGGAAAATGTGTAAATACTAAACCTCCTGAGACCCTTTTGGAAAAAAATAGCCACAGATGCTTCTGTGACTTAACGTTTTTCCCAGGCATACCCACAATCAGGCTCAAACCTGGATGATTTGAAACTTATGCCTCAATCACTCATTTTGGTTGTCACTCTGTCTCTGCTGTGGTTTGAATGTGTTCCCCAAAGTTCATGTGTTAAAAAGTTAATCCACAATGCAACAGTGTTGAGAGGTAAGACCTTTAAGAGCTTTAAGAGGTGATTATGGCAGAGCCCTCATGAGTGCATTAATGCTAATATCTCAAGAGGAGGTTAGTTATTGTGATAACTAGATAAGAAGATGAGTTGGCCCTTCCAACTTTTCCCTTCTCTCTCTCTCTGATGCACACCTGTGTATATGTGTGTTCTCTTAACCCTCTGCCCTTGCATCATGGAATAATACAGTAAGAAAGCCCTCATTAGATGCAGCCCCTCAACTTTGGTCTTTCGAGCCTCTATAACTGTCAGAAATAAATTTCTGTTCTTTATAAAGTACCAAACAGAAACCAGCTCTTATAGTGGCACAAAACAGACTAAGACAATCTCTCTCTGCTCTGTGAGAAGATAGTGAGAATGCAGCCATCTGCAAGCCTGGAAAAAGGCCCTGACCAGAAAGCAAACTTAATGTTACCTTAATCTTCTTGGACGTCCCAGCCTTTAGAACTGTGAGAAATTAATGTTTCTTGTTTAAGCCACTCAGTCTATGGTATTTTGTATAGTAGCCTCAGTTCACTAAGGCACTAGTTAAGAAAACAAAAAGGCAAGCTGTGGACTGTGATAAATTTTTGTGAAGCACATATCTTCTGGAGGACTTGGATCTAGAATATGTAAAGAATCTTCAGCTCTTTTTTTTTTTTTTTTTTTTTTGGAGAGACGGGGTTTCACCATGTTGACCAGGATGGTCTCGATCTCTTGACCTGGAGATCCACCTGCCTCGGCCTCCCAAAGTGCTGGAATTATAGGCATGAGCCACCGCGCCTGGCCCCAGCTCTCAATAATAATGCAAACAGCCTGATAAATAAATGGACAAAAGAACTGAACGGATATTTCACCAAGAAGAGAGATTGTATTAGTCCGTTTTCACACTGCTGATAGAGACATACACAAGACTGGATAATTTATAAGGAAAAACAGGCTTAATGAACTCACAGTTCCACCTCACAATCATGGTGGAAGATGAAAGTCACGTCTTACGTAGTGGCAGGCAAGAGAGAATGAGAGCTAAGTGAAAAGTGATACCCCCCCTTATAAAACCATCAGATCTCATTAGAATTATTCACTACCTTGAGAACAGTATGGGGGAACCACCCTTATGATTCAATTATCTGCCACTGGGTTCCTCCCACAACATGTGGGAATTATGGAAGCTACAATTCAAGATGAGATTTGGGTGGGGACACAGCCAAACCATATCAGATATGATAGCAAATAACACATGAAAAGATGCTAAACATCATAAGTCATTAGGAAAATAAAAGTTTAAACCAAATTAAGGTACCTCTGCACATCTATTAGAATGAGTAAGAAAAAATCCCCATGAAAACTGGCAATACCAATGCTGGTAAGGATACAGAGCTGTTAGAATTCTCAGACATTGTTGGTGAGAATGCAAAATTGCACAACTGCTTTGGAAAACAATTTGCTGTTTCATATAATGTTAAGCATACACTTATCATACAACCCAGTAACCTTACTTCAAGATGGTTACTCATGAGAAATGAAAACTTACGTTCATACCAAGACCTGTATGTAATCCTTATAGTGGCTTTATTCATAATCATCAGAATCTGGAAACAAATGTTCTTCAACTGGTGAATGGATAAATGAACTGTGGTAAATTCATACGATGGAAAACCGCTCAGCAGTATAATGGAGCAAACATCTGATACACTCAACAACATGGATGAATCTCAACTGCCTTATGCTACATGAAAGGAATCAGATATAAGTGGCTACATGCTGTATGATTTCATTTATATGACATTCTGGATTAGGCAAAACTCTGGTCATAGAAAACAGGCCAGTGTTTGCCTGGGGCTGAGAGCATGGAGAGGGATTGATGACAAAAGGACATCAGAGATTTTTTGAGGGTGATGGAATGATTCTGTATCTTGATTATCATGGTGGTAATGTGATTATGTATTTGTTAAAACTCGTAGAACTCCACACTAAAAATGAATTTTACTATCTGTATATTAAAACTAAAACTTTTTTAAGAAGCCAAAAAGAAAAAATGTGGATTTGCAGAAAGAAAAAAAAAATCAAGATGCAGTTCAGTAGTAGAAAGGGTCAAAGCAAGGCCAAGCAGAACTATTCCACTTAACATCAAAAGGGGTCATCCTTAGGGGTGGAGCTGAGTTTATGAAGATTATATGTCTGCAGAGGCTAGCCTTAGCAGGTTCCTCCTCTCACTGGGCCCTAGAGGACTTGGAAAACCTGGTTCTGGGGTGGTAGTATTCGTGGTCTCAGGCATTCCTGTTGAGTTGAGTAGGCCACTCCTAGAACGTAGTAGGAAGTCTGGGGCTAAAAGGGGATGAGAAGGTGAGGAAGAGAGCTTCTGACATTCAGAAGTCACATTTGCTAGCCAGTTTAAAATTTTCTTTTATTGCATAGTAGTTCCATTTCATTATCCCAAAACCTTCAATAAAACCTGGTTATATGTTATAGCCTCGTCTTTACTACTAAGCTTTGAAGAGTTGGAATAGTCTAAGTCTACTCTCCCATAAAGGAATGACAAGAAAGGAGTCTTAGCCCAGAGAAGCACAAAGGTCAAGGAGGATGTCTTTGATGTGAGTATCTCTAGTACCCCAAATAGTGGCTAACACATACATACGCCGTAAATGAATACTTGAGTGAAAGCTGCTCTTCTTTATACCAGTATAACAAAATAAAGATGTCCCCAAAGTAAATGGTTTTATTGAATGATTTTTCTATTTTACAGTGGTGCAAAAGCAATAACATTCAGTAGGCTTCTTGACTTATGATCGGTTATGTCCAGATAAACTCATTGTCAGTTGAAAATATAATCAAGTTGAAAATCCTATTTTCCAGTGGGGTTACATCTAAATAGACCCATTGTAAGTTGAAAATCCTATTTGCAACTTACAATGGGTCTATTTAGATGTAAACCCACTGTAAGCTGAGGAGCG